CGTGGACGCCTCAACGTGCAGGAGTGCGTGCCGGCCCGGCCAGGCACGCACGATGATGTCCTGGCATGGCATCTACCTATCGTCCTGGACGTCTGTTGCTTGGAGGCAAGGCCAAGAAGAGTTCCTTTTGCATCATTGCCAGGGACATAGTGGCCTAGTGGTGGATCGATTCAAAAACTTCTATCGCACGATTTCTCCTCCTCAATTGTTTACAGGAGAAAGACTTTACCGTCATTTGCACATCAGATACCTGTAATTGTTCCTTGCCAAAAAAAAAGAGAGAAAAAGATGGCTGTGCTTGTTTATTTGTTACAAAATGGGATACCTTTGCTTGTTCTCTCAAAAGTTTAAAAAGAAGAAGAGATTTTTCTTGCCGGCTTCAACAAGAAATAAAAAAGGGGACTGCTATATAGCATTCGGCTCCTGGCTTCTCTTGCCAATACCCTAATTCTTCCTTTTCTCTTTTCTTCTTCTTGCTCCTTTATGGTTAGCACTTAGCAGCATGGAAATGAAAACGAAATAAAGAAATAGACGTGTTGGTATCTGACACCTAAATTTCTAGCTACGGTACAATTTTAAATGGACAATTGTGATTTTATCCTCGTTCAACTTTATGATTTTACCTTCTTTTTTTCAAACCCCAAGCCACCATTTATCCATATTCTAGTCTCAGTTAGCTAAAGGCCCGACAAATAAATCAAAGATGATGATGATAACAATAATAGTAACAACGATGCAAACCCCTCGCCTTATTCTAACCCTCCCAGCTTTTACCGATGAGCATGTGCAACTTGTTAAACTCTGTTTAAAAAACCTAGGTGCAAATTTCATATGGGAAATCTAGTTTTTTTAAACTGAACTGACAATGTTACCTCATCTAAATGGAAGCATTTTATTCGCAGTTGTTTGGATGTGTGATAGGCAAATACCCTTTCTGCTACTTGGGTTTGCCTATGCATACTAGGAAATTAAGTAACAAAGATTGGTTAACAATTGAAAAGAGAATTGAGAATAAGTTTAGTGGCTGGAAAGGAAAGATGCTTTCGGTGGGTGGTCGCTTGGTATTAATAAACTCGGTGCTTTCAAGCTTACCGATGTATATGCTATCTTTTTTCGAGATTCCGAAGGGAGTTTTAGAAAAGATTGACTGTTTTAGGTCAAGATTCTATTGGCAAGGCGACCAACACAAACGTAAGTTTAGATTGGCTAGATGGGAATTTATGTGCCAACCAAAAGTCCAAGGAGGCTTAGGAATACAGAATCTGGATATACAGAATAAGTGTTTACCGAGCAAATGGTTGTTCAAGTTGCTAAATGAGGAGGGTCTGTGGCAAGAACTGTTGAGAAATAAATATTTAAAAGACAAACCACTTGGGTGTTGCACAAAAAAAACTAACGGATTCTCATTTTTGGAAAGGCCTGATTAAGGTTAAAGATACTTTTTTGAGCCTCGATACCTTTAAGGTGAAAGACGGATCTCAAACTAGATTTTAGTTTGATACTTGGTTGGGGAACAAACCATTAAAAGATAAATTTCCTGTGTTGTTCAATATTGTGAGAAGGAAACAGGACTCTGTAGCATCAGTACTTGCATCAGCCCCGCTTAATATTTCCTTCCACCGTAATCTGGTTGGTAGAAATTTGTGGGATTGGCTTAGAATTGTTGCTTCATTACAAGATTTGAACTTACAGGGGGAAAGGGACAAGTTTATCTAGTCTTTGCATTCATCAGGCATTTTTTCTGTAAAATCTATGTATGCTGCGTTAATTAATAACGGGGTCAGGGTGTCCCAAGATTTATGGCAAATTAAAATACCATCAAGAATAAAATTTTTCTTGTGGTACTTAAAGAGAGGTGTTATTTTGACTAAGGACAATCTTGCTAGACGTAACTGGAATGGTGATAAGAGTTGTTGTTTTTGCCATTATTCAGAAACAATTCAACACCTCTTCTTTCAATGCTATCATGCTAGATTCTTATGGCGCGCTGTACATTTAATGTTTGGCTTATCTCAACCTCTTAGTATTGATGATTTATTTGCAAATTGGTCTAAGGGAGGGAGTAAAAGACATAATTCGTTGTTATTAACTGCAGCAACAGCATTATGTTGGACAATATGGATAACAAGAAATGAGGTAGTTTTTGACAAATGTAAACCAAAAACCTTTTTGCAGGTGTTATTCAGGGGAACTTATTGGCTAAGGCAATGGGCCGGACTGCAGCGGCATGACGACACACGACAACAGCTCCTTGCTGGTCAACGTTTGGAGACAGTCGCTCTGCATTTTTTTAGTTCCAATGGATGGTTGTCAAATAGGTTTATTGGTCTGTCTTAGTCTAGACTTTCTTTTATGGGTTGTTTTCTTAGTTTGTGGCTGTGAGGTGCCAAGAATTGTCGTTTGAATATTGGTTATAAATCAAAATCTTGTAATAATTGGCCTGATTCTACCGCGAGGTAGATGAAGCCGGGTATGAAATATCCTTTATCTAAAAAATCTAAATGGATGTTACCTCATCTAAATGGGACTGGGGTAAAAACTCTGCCTTTGTTTTGAAAGAGCTGGGGCAAAACCACAAAGTTAAATAAATGTGGAGAAGATACAATTATAATTCAAAACATGTTTAAGAACACAAGAGCGCCTCTGTAATTAAGTTATATTATAGTCGAAGTGGTATTTTTCATAGTTTCTACGTAAAGTTGATGTGTTCAAAAATCTAGGTGTTCTTAAAACATCTGATTTTTACAACACCATATGGTTCAGGTACCTAATAAACACATATAAAAACAGAAAAAGTCTCCCTAACCCCTTGACTATTAGCGTTTGTCGATTTCATCATCTCATCTAGAAAACCAAGTAGTTTAAGTATTGAAAACCATCTAAATCTACTACCACACGATTTCCTATCCTCAATTATTTAGGGAGGCCAGGTGTGTATCACCTGTGGGTGGTAGAGGCTGAAACGTTGTTCCCTTATTAAAAAAATATTTAGAGAGGCAAAGATTTTCCATTATTTGCATATCAGATAGCAATACTTGTTCCTAGCAAAGAAAAGAAAGATAGGTGCACCTATTTATTTTTTACAATGGGGTATTGACTTCGAGAGTAAATAAAATTTGGGTATTTTGTACTGGTGAGGCAGCTATGTTTCCTTTTTTTTTAAATAATAGAGAACTTTTTCTTGCTGTCTTCGAGATACGTTGGTTATCTACTTACTCCGTATCTCTGAAACTGTTTCTATTAAAAAAAATACGTCATTTTCTCATGGCATTCTCTTATTCTTGGTATAGTCGTCTGATACTGACAGAAAATCGCTCTCTTTGTAGACATACAGGACACATCCAACAGTGAAGTGCCACAGGATAATGCCTTTTTTTTAGAAAAGAGAGTACCTCTGTTTTATTGAAAGCAAATAAGCATTGACATTGAAAGCAAAATAATTGTTCACAGACAAAACAAAGGGCCAGGACACCAGCTCTTAACACCATAGTTTTCACATAAAGCAGACTCAGGTGCAACAGATTCCGCCGTAAACGATTTCACCAATGCCCGGAATGCCTAAAATCATGCAAGCCAAGCAAGTGTGCGCTCGACCACTGTGTCCACCCATTCCTTATCTTTCACCTTGAGCAGTGGTCGCCGTTTCTGCACAGAAGATAACTCCAGGAACAAGATTTGAGAGACTCGAAAAAAAAGGAACAGGATTTGAGAAGGATTGCTGGGTAGTTTCTTCTCAACTGCTATATATCTTGTTACAGTTTTCCCACAAACCCCAAATTTGTGTGGTTACCAATTTTGTCATAAATCGACTATGCTAATTAAAAATGTTCCTTAAAGGAGTCCAAACAAAAGTAGCAAGAGGGCTGTCTTTCTAGCCTCTTTTCTTGATAGAGGCTGCAGTTTGCAATCTGTAAATGGACATTTGCCAAATAAACATTGCAATCTTCAAACGGATTCTACAGTTCCAAATAACAAAACCGGATCATCTTGCCCATCCAAATGAATGTCCTGTAACAACCTCGGCAACTCGCTAGCTCCATCTCGCCGAGTCCTATTCAGCAGAGCATCTTCTTCTTCTCCTTCTAAAGCTGGTAAGTGGTAACCCAATCTCCCTCACTTTCACAGTCACAGAGACCAGAGTCCTTTTCCTGGTGGTATGTAGGGCCAACGCGGAAAACACGCTGCAAACCTCCTTCGTTTGGGCTTGGTTGGCTGATAAGCCATGACTAAAATTACTATTGGCTGATTTGGTGTGAGAGAAAAATATTATTCGTTGACTAAAAAAGTACTGTTTATAAGCTAAATAAGCCCAAACGAGCGGGGCGCTCGCGTCCAAAGTAGGTTTACCCCAAACCCAGCAACAATCCATGTGTCTTGCCAAAATGGCTAAATGGCAGGCACCAGACTCCACTGCTTGCTTGTATTGTATCAGTTCCGGCGCAAAAAAGTGCGACAGCGATCAAAAGCGTGTGTATACATATATCCAGTGACCAGTGGGCAACGGTCACGACTCACACGCGTGTTCACTGAATTCATTCATTTCAGGTTTTTTGCTATCACCCGAAAATGATACGTCACCTCCATGATTCTTCAGTCGGACTGTAGGAGTATCATGCGCTTCCCGTGATGTGCATCGATCGACAACTCTGCGTGGCGTCGACATCCAAGTCGCTTGCTTCACCCGGTGGAGAAACCAAAGCACAGCCCAAGGCTTTATAAACAATTACTTCCTCCGTTCTAAATTATAAATTGCTTTCACTTCTTTTCATCAATTTCTTTATGTATCTAAACATATTATTATATATAGATACATATCAAAAATAGAGATAACAATAAAGTCAAAACGAGTTATAATTTGGAACGGAGGAGTATATATCGTTTTATCCATCTATATATATAGCAGAGTGTCCTGTTGAGTAGAAATGTAGAATCAGCAGAAGGGTGCAGCAGGTTCAGGAGGAGCTCTCGTGGTGTCATAGTCTGTGGAAGGTCCAAAGAAGATGGAGGGCGAGATGGACGAGGACGTGCTGACGGAGATCCTCGCGAGGCTGCCGTGCAGGTCGCTGGCGAGGTTCCAGTGCGTCTCCACGTCGTGGCGGCGCATCATCTCCAGCGACTACCTCCGCCGCAGGCTGCCGCTCATCACGTCGGGGGTGCTCTACCACGACGACACGCACCGCGGCGGCGACGACTTGGACGGCGGCAGGAGGCAGCAAGCGTACACGTACGCGTGCGCGTCAGGCGGCGGCGGCGGCACGGCGGAGGCCCCGGACATGGACTTCTTCCCGCGCCACGAGACGTCCACCATCATCGACGGCTGCAACGGCCTGCTACTCTACTACTCCTCCCGCCCGACGGCGTTCCACGTCGTGAACCCGACCACGCGGCGGTGGGCGGAGCTTCCGCCGCCGCGCGCCAGGACGCTGCTCTCCGTGCTGGCGTTCGACCCCTGCGCCTCGCCGCACTACAGGGTGGTGTGCTTCACGGGGTGGCTTCCCCGGGGCGCCACCATCGAGGTGTTCGACTCCGAGCGCGGCGCGTGGCGGGACCACGAGGTCGACTTCGGCCTCGACACCGACGCCATGTCGGCCACCATGCACTACTCCGGCGGCGCGCTCCACGTGCTGGCCTACTCGGGCCACGTCGTCCGCGTCGATCTGGACACCATGGCGTCCGCGGTCACCGCGCTCCCGGCCCCCGTCAGCTGCCGGGCGCGCGCCGGGCACTGCCGCGGCCGCCTGCGGTTCGCGTCGAGCGACGGCACGCGCCTCAGGATCTGGGAGCTCAAGGACGCCGCCGGGGGCGAGTGGGCGCTGAAGCACGAGATCGGGGTCAGCGACGTCGTCTCCGGCGGCGCGTCCCAGCCCATCACGTTCTTGTTCATGGCGTTCCACCCCGAGCGGGAGCTGGTGTACCTGTGGTCGCCGTGGAAGCTGCTGGCGTTCGACGTGGTCGAGAGGCGCGTCGAGGAGGAGTGGGTGTTCGGATCGGAGAAAGAAGGCACGCACCTCATACAGGTTTGGCTGTTTCCGTTCTCGCGCCATTTGGCCAACGCGCTGGCCTGATTAGGCTTGCCGACGAGCCGGAAATGGCATGGGGCCCAAGTGTTCGTTGCCTATCCACAATGCTCTGGTTGCTAAAAGATTGATAAAATATATCAAAACAGAAAACAAAGAGTCAAAGACAGTATTCGTCGAAAAAAAGAAGAAAAGAAAGACAAGTAGTGAAACTGAAAATACCTTGAAATACTACATTGCAGACATGTTTGTTGCCCTGTATAGATCATGATTACTTGTATATGGACTTTTCATCTGTAACGGTGTGTAAGCGTGGTACTGTTTGTGTCGTTGATTTTCTAGTGGTTCAAGTACTTTGAATGTTGGTAGCAACTCAGGCAAGTTGCACTGAAGATATCAAGTGATCAACTGATGCGATATGACAGCTTACCACGTGTACTCTTATTGTATTGTTATTATAGTACGCTTGAGTTGAAATCATGCCACTCATTTCGTTTTCGGCTAATTGTCCAAGCTATTCAGCTTGTGGATGCCATTAACTTAAAAGAAACGTCTTTAACAGTTCTGAAAATGGTTTACACTGAAAAGTAGCAGCGAATTGACAAAAGACTGTACACTGAACAGTAAAAGTAAAACTTTCGGCCTCTTCGCTTGTTGGTTTCAAGGTCGTGATGGATCCCTCAAAAACCAAAGACCAAATTTAACCCAAACCAAAGACCAAAGACTAACCAAATGAATGTGCCCCTTTGGCTAAGGTCGTGATGGATCCCTGGAGGGTAACAATATTGGAGGCTTAGGTTGTAATGAGATTATTTTTAGAGCAACTACAATGTGTTTAGACAAAATAGTCTAAATAGTGTAAAATATATCTATATATATATGGGACAATCTTTCCAGCATAGAGAGACTAGTTTCATTGGGTACACTGATAATAAATAGAAATGGCACCTAATAAGAGTCTGTTTGGATCCCAGAGCTAATAATTAGCGCCTGTTCGGATACCAATTAGAAAGCATAAATGTGAGCTAATTATGGGTGAATAAGAGCCAATGAGGGCTAATTGTGGTTAGAGTCCATTAATCCTTATTAGCCCATAATTAGCTCAATCGTCGCCTTTCTCCGCCCGTCATGTCTTCTATGACCGCATGGGCCTCGCCACACCCAAATCAGTAGCACAGCTTCCAGGATCAATCTTCCCACAACTTAATCGAGCTCCTTGCGGCAGCCACCTCTCCAAATCGAAGGTTCGTTTACATAAATCGAGCTCACCCTGATATATGGCCGCCACTAAGAAGAAGGGTAGCACAGGCAAAATGGTTAGGCCGAAGGAGATTAGGCGCACACGAACTGGGGTGGTGACCTTGCTTAGTGTGGCGAATTGCCAACAGCCGGGCACCATTGTCGATAGAGGAGAGGAGAGAGAGCAGTTTATGTGTAGTCCATAAGCCTATTAGTATATTTGCTATGGACTACTATATAGACTACTATTACTATATTTGCTCTGTTTTCTTTACTTGCCCTGTAATTTAGCTTTTCATTTCCAATAAAATCACAGTAGGGGCATGTCCCTCCTGTTTCCATAAAAAAAAACTAGACTACTTCCCCTATAGACTACTTTATTGCTACTCTCTGACAATGGATAAATAAATTTCTAGAATTGTTTAAAGTTATTCTTTTTTTTGTTGACCAAATTTATAGAAAAGCTAGTATACATTTTTGTGACACCTTATGGATATCCACATTGTAAGAATATAGTTTAGTGTACCTAATGATATAAATTTGATGTCATAAACCTTTGGTAGTTTTCGCTACAAATTCAGTTCACTTTTTTCAAAATTACTACTCTAAGAATGAATTTATTTAAGAACATAAATTGATTTATTCAAGAACTGTCAAAGAAGTAGACAAAAAAACACCAAAAATTGATATATTCAGAACTGTTACAACCGTGCTCGGGTCCCCTTAGAGTACACAGGCCCACTAAAAGACCTATTTCGGGCCAAACAAACTCGAAGTCAGACCATAAGATTCATTTCGATTTGGTTGGGGCGCGCCAGGCTTGGGCAGTAGTGCAACGCCCAAGCGACGCGTGAGGGCCCCAGTAGCAAGCTACTGTGGTGGACCTTCCCCCACAAAAAATAAATTTAATATCGAAGTGGGCACATGGCCCACATATCAGATATTAAACTGATAAGAACAGATACTACACTTGATCTTAGCCAAAAGGCCGAGAAAGGTATGAGATTCTTAGCCGCCCAGGGTCTTCTTTTATAGTCTTCCTCTGGCTACGCTCGCCCAAGTCCGCCGAGGTGGGACTAAACGAGCAGCGCGCTCCGCGCAGGCAAGGCGCGCTCTCTTTGGTTACCACCAGGCGTCGGTGCTACCCAGGCTGCGGTAGCAATGGGCTCTCCCAAGCCCATCAATTGGTAGCCCACCAAGGAATCCAACGGACCTGGAATTCACTCATCGTCTCCTCCTACTTTCGGCTTCATCATCATCAGAGTTTGAAGCAGCCATGCCTGATCGATGCCACCTCCTCGTCTCGCCGTCGGCCTGCCGAGTGCCGACGCTCATCTCCCGCCTGGCCGCCTCCCACGTGCCACGCCCAGACGCCTTCCTCCTCACCTCGGGCCATCTCGCCGCCTCCCCGCTGCGCCTCTCCAACCTCCTCCTCACACTCGCGTCCGTCCGCGGTGCCGCCGCGCACGCGGACGCCGTCTTCGCGCGCCTCCCGGAGCCCGCCGCCGCGACCAAGCAGCAACGGCAAATGGGCGCCACGCCGGTGCGGTGGCCGCGTGTGCTGACCCCGGCGCAGCTCGCCGGAGCCATACGCCGGCAGAAGAACCCGCTCGAAGCTGCCCACTTGTACTGGGACGCGCCTCGCCGCTACCCACCCTCCTGCTACCGCCACAATGACGACGTCCGCTCCACCCTCCTAGGCGCATCCGCCGGCTCCCCCATCCTCCCGTCCCTCCTCCGCCGGGTCCTCCCATCCTCCCCATCCGCCGATTCCCTCCTTGCTGCTTCGATCCCCAGCCTCTCACCCGCAGCCGCCGTGTCCATCTTCCGCTCGTCCCTCCCCTCCTCCCCGTCGCCGTCTTGGTCCCTCTCCTTCTCCGCTCTCCTCCGGCGCCTCGTCTCCCAAGCTCTACTCCCCGAGGCTGCCCGCCTCTTCGCCGACTTCGCCGGGCGCCCGGAAGTCTCAGTAGCATCCGCGGATCTTACTTTTCTCATCGCTGGTCTCTGCCGCGTGCGGCGCCCTGACCTCGCGCTGCAGGTGCTCGACGAAATGCCGAACCTATGCCTCGCGCCAGAGAGGGACGCGTACCGCGCGATTGTGCCTGCTCTCTGTGACGCTGGCATGCTTGATGAGGCTACACATGTCGTCTATTCCATGCTGTGGCGGGTGTCGCAGAGGGGCTGTGACGCAGATGTTGTGGTGTACCGGGCATTGCTGGTCGCACTCTGTGCGGCTGGCCGGGGCGAACAGGCTGAGCTGGTTCTGGATAAGGTGCTCAGGAAGGGGCTGAGGTCACCAGGTAGTCGTCGGTCTCTTCGTGTGCCAATGCTTGCTGTGCTTAACCTCGAGGATGCTCGGGAATCCATTGACCAGACGTTGGCTGTTCGAGGTGGCCGTACTGTATGCAGCTTTGAGTCCATGATTCTTGACCTCTATGAAGAGGGTCGGTTTGATCAGGCAGACAAATTGTTCGAGGACATGGCCAAGAAGAATTTCAAGCCAACAATCTGCATGTATGAGGCGAAGATAGCTGCTTTATGCAGGGTAGGGAACGTGGATGATGCTGTGGAAGTGACGGAGGAGGAGCTGCCAAAGAATGACCTTGTTCCAACAGTGACAACATATAACTTGCTCATGAAGGGTCTTTGTGACACGATGCAATCAATGAGGGCACTAGAATACCTCAAAAAGATGGATAAGCAGCTTGGTTGTGTTGCTCAAAAGGACACTTTCTCAATCTTGGTCCATGGTTTGTGCTTAGAAACCAAGTTTATTGATGCTTCGAAGTTAATGGAGAGAATGGTGAAGGGACATCATTGGCCTGACAGAAGTGCATTCAACAGTGTTATTGAAGGTTTATGTTCTGCTGGCAGAACTTATGATGCATTGTTGTGGCTAGAGGAGATGATCGACCATGGAGAAACACCAAACATCCATGTTTGGTCATCCTTAGTCTCAGCAGTATGTATGTCCCAGTTTGAAGCTTTAGGAGCTGGACTGTTGGAGAAAGCTTAGGTTGTAACTGTACAAGAGGTGGGATTCAACCTAGGAAACTCTTGAAACTACAACTACGCCAATAATGAGTGTAAGGCACTCTTCTATTTATGTACGTAGAACGAAATGGCTGTGGTTTCATCTACTCTCAGTACCAAGAACACAGCTTTAAATCACCAAATGCATCTTACACTAAAATTCAAAGGCATGTTGTTTCGAAGAGAAAAGGTAGTATATCTGGGATGAAAGGGTGTTGTAGTTACATAGGAGCAATCTCTATCCTACAACTAAAAAGCCAGAGATGTTATCGTTCTGAGTTATAGGCTGAATCCTCTGTGCTTCATTTTCTTTTTGTTTTTTATGAACAGAGGAATAACAGTTGAAGGAATCAGACTTTATATTATTATGGCGCTGTTTCGAAGATCTTTTGAGCAAAGGTAAGATGTTCTACAGCAGTTGAATTTGATGAGTTGCAAACATATTTGTGGCGTACCTGTGTCTATGAGATCAATTAGTATTTCACTGCAGTGAGCCAGTGAAAAACAAACAAGATTATGACAGAATTTGTAGTAATTTCAATTTGTCATATTCAAATTGTGTGACATGTTTATGAAGTAATTTCTAGGAGCAGTCATTGCAGGGTTATGAATAGCCATTTGTTTTCAGAATTAAACAACTCCAGTATATCACCTTCCTTTGAGTAAAGCTAGCAAAAGTGATGCCACTCCATGTTTACATCATTTGTTTTCTGAATTTTAGTCAATAGAGAGTTTTGCTGATATATTTAGCTTCATATGCAGAGTTTTGCTGTCTACACATGCTATGGTTTGCAATTTTTATACTCTTAGCATTAAAAAGTGCAAGATTTGTTAATGTTTGACTAATACTGCACGAATGACTACTTCAAATATCAACCACTCCATGCTGATATAGTGATATATTTAGCTTCATATGCAGAATTTTGCTGTCTACACATGCTGTAGTTTAGAATTTTTATATTCTTAGCAAAAAGTGCAAGATTTGTTAATGTTTGACTAATATTGCACGAAGTGACTACTTCGAATAACTGCCATTGTGAATTATGGGGCTGCAGAGCGTTTGTTGTCTGTTTTATATTTGCTACAAACCTGGTGCAGAGGCATAGGATTTTTAGGCAGATCTGGGAGATGTACACCTGCGTGGTTATACAAAATTATTGTTTGTAAACCTTAAAGTTATCACTCTTCCTGTAAAATAACACACACCCACCCACACACACAAATGATAAGAGTGATATTGATGGCAAGAGAAGCATGATGGTCATATGCTTGATTTTCATTTGAAGTTGTTAAGAGCCCCTTCGGCATTAAATTCTGCCAGTGAAAGAAAAAAATTACAGTAGTTTTTAGTTCAAACCCCTCCAAAAAAGACTTCTGATTCCAATGATTGGATAAAATTTTTGATTGAATGCAATAATTCTATTGATATACATTTTGTTGTCTGTACAGAACTTCCGGATCTTCTCCAAGATGAGCTGCTTGGTTACAAATTTTTCCTGTCTTCTTTCCTGGCAAATGAAACCTTACTGCTCTAATTTGCCAGCTCGGGCATGTGGCTGGCAGAGGTGACATCAATTGAATCTGGGGGCTCGCGCCCTTCCATCATCCAAAATTACTGGACTCGTGATGTCATGCAGCTGTGAGCAAAAGTTGAGGTCTCCTATAGCTAAGGACGGTCTGCTCAAGATCAGAGCTGAGTGATATTGGTCACATCACTAAGATAATGCAGTGGCTCTCCGAAATTCAGTTGGAGATGGGCTCTGGAAGTAATCGGCCAAGCATCTCTTACTCGTGGTCATCTGCATCATTAAAGCTATCGTCCAAACCAATGGCTCGTCATTGGTGAAGTTATCGCTATGCCCATGGTGAAGCGCTCCATATGTACACGAATCAGCTGGAGAAGTGGAGATGTCCAGCAGGGGGCCCAAAAGGCACGGCGGCATTGCATGACGACTCATCTTGGGCATTGCCGCATTGGCATTGTTTTTTTAGGGCAGGCATTGGCATTGGTTAGCCCTGGTATCATTTGTATCCAAGACTTCCAAATAGTTGTTCTCGGTGCATTGGAAGCCATATAATCAGGGTAAAAGATGGTGTTCTGCAGCTGGTAGGCATCCCATGCCAGTTGGTTTTGCTTGTTCTTACCTTACCATTGTCCGTAGGCAATGAGGCATCTGTGACTGGTTTGAGTAGTTGCCCATGCCCACGCCGTTGCAGTTGATGTATCGGACGCAGGCTGCATAATGGCATTCTTGCTTTTACAATGATAATGGACCTCCCAGCATATGCATTCTTGCTTTTATCTAGCACATGGCCCCAGGGCAAGTGTCATTAGTTGACAGTTCAACGTCAACTCACCAAATCAGGATGATATAAAAAAAAGGACGTACCCAGTGCAGAGAGCTTCCGCTCTGTGCGGGGTCTGGGGAAGGGTGTCAGTGGCAAGCCTTACCCTCGCCTGTGCAATGCGAGGAGACCACGACTCGAACCCGGGACCTTCCGGTCATAGGTGGTAAGACTCTACCGCTTGCACCAGGCCCGCCCTTCCCAAATCAAATCAGGATGATATGGATGATGAAATTGCTGATGAAAATGTAAATGATGAAGCTGGTGGGGTGGTGTCAGTGCAGCTGAGGTGCTTTGAGCCCAAGACCCAAGTGAATGGAGAAGGTGGAATGAGGAGTAGATAATGTTCTCTGAAGGGCGTGAAGAAGAAGTGTCACCTAGTTAGATGGACCAAGATTACGAAACCCAAAGATAAAGGAGGGCTGGGAATCAAAGATTTAAGGAGAATGAATATTAGTCTTTTATGCAAATGGTGGTGGAAAGCTGAGAACGGAGAGGGTATTTGGCAAGATATTATATAGGAAAAAATACCTAAATAAGGGGGGTTTAGTTCATTTGAAGAAGAGTTATAAAAATTCCCCTGTGTGGAATGATCTTCTCAAAGTAAAGGATTTATACTTAAAAGGTAGGTCTGTGGTGATTGGGGATGGTAAGAGTACCAGCTTTTGGCACTATCGTTGGTGTGGGCCTGTCTCCTTGGCAGACAAGTTCCCTAGGCTGTTTGAAATAAGTTAAGATCAGGAGTGCATGGTCGAGACTATGAAACAGAGAAGGTGGAAACCTAAATTTAGGAGATGGTTGCATGAAGATTTGCAAAACCAACTGGGGAGGCTCCAAGATATAGTTTACCGTTGTTGTACCAATGGTAATAAAGACAGAGCGAGATGGGATTGGGAGAAATCAGGTGTTTTCTCTGTCAAATCGACCTATAAACATTTATGCAAAAATGAATATGGGCCTAATAACAAGAGAATTTGGAAAGCCAGGATCCCTCTAAAGATCAAAATTTTATGTGGTTGGTGTCTCAAAATGCGATTCTGACTAAGGACAATCTGAGTAAACGTAATTGGAAGGGGAACAAAGATTGTGCTTTCTGTACAGAGGAGGAGGATGGTCATCACATCTTTTTGGGTGCCTGACTGCGAAATATATTTATAGTTTGTTAGCTTACTCTCTAGGAACTGATTATAGACCAAGCAACATTGATCAGTATTAGGTGTGGGTGTGGGTTAATAAAATTCTGCCTCGTAGCCGACAGATGCATGCTGTTGGGCCCGCAGCCGTTTGTTGGGCAATTTGGCGTGCTCGGAATGCTGTTTGCTTTGAGAATAAACGAATTAAATCTCCTACTGAGATTGTTTGTATGATCTGCTCGTTTCTTACGTATTGGGCAGGATTACTGAAGGAAGAGCTGAAGACTCAAGTCATTCAAGGTGCAGATGTGGTGAAGACGGCGGCCCTCTTCTTCCACAAGCAGAACCAGCAGGCTGCCGTACGCTGCCTGATATATAAAAAGATGGCAACGGCCCCGGATACCCGATACCCGACGGGTATTTGATCCATTAGGGGACGAGGATGGGTCATATCTTTACCCGCGGGCATCTAAATGGGCAAGAATCCATCCCCGACGGGTATAGCGGGTACGGGAACGTTCCCTGTTTACCCGTCCCCGTTACCTATTGGGGAACCCGACTATTTGAGCTGTCATGCGAATATTAGGCTCAAAGAAGCTCAACATAGATATTTTGGTCCAAATCTGAACAATCATATATATAGTTTGTGTGTTCTAGGAACCCTAGTTCAATTTTTCCTCACCATCTCCGCCAAGAAAGACAAGCACGCCGCCTCCACGAGCGCTCGTGCCCTCGCTTCCTCGCCTCGGTCTCTCGCCACCTTTTGCTCGTCCTCCTCGCAACCCTCGCTCCTTCTCCTCGGCATCTCCGAGACTCAACACTTATACCCGGGTGAAGAAGAAACGCTCCGATTGCAAAGTCACACCCCAAGTGTCCTTGTTTATCGGGTATGCAGTACCCGTTGAGTATCTGTTACCTGACTGATGCCCGACGGGTATGGGGATGGGCAAAAATCTATTCCCGAGATAGTTAACGGGGACGGGGACGGGATGAATTCTCCGTAGCGGGGAAGAGAACGTTCCGGCGATACCCGACAGGTACATCCCCATTGCCATCCATACTGATATACAAGGGGTGGCACGTCTCAGATTTTGGGGAGCTGTGGAGGCTGTTTCGTCTAAGTCTGTCTTGTTAGCTTGGCCAAGGCCATGTTCGATGTAATTAGGTTAAACTTCCAGGAACTTTTAGTGTGCTAAGGATTAGGTTCCCTTGGTGATCCTACGCCTGAGCGTGGTTTTACTGTTATTTTCTGTGTTGGTTGTATAGACATGTTCTAAAAACTCGTTATAATTTCGTTGCTGCGGTAATGAAATTCGGTTTTACCGGTGTGGAAAAAAGAATTTATATGCAGGATATTGCTGTTTGTTAAACTGTAAGCTCTCTAGTTCAATGACATTATCAACCAAATTGGTTTGAATATTTGAAACAATCGCCAATAATTATCTGTGAGATATCTATACAATGTCTAAAATCCCAGGCTTGTCAGTTCTGAGAAAATATTCAGGCACACCACTTTTATCGCAGGGGACAGGGTGCTGACTGAAGAGCCTAAGTTTTTGTTCGAAACGTATTGAAAGCCTAATAATAAACTACTAATAAAAACCTATTACAGATGCAGTGCAATGGAATGGAATGGCATTCGCGTGTCGGCCGTGCTTTGTCGTTCTAGCGGGGGAGCACGTTCGGGTACAGCCCGCGGATGTCCTGCGGCATGAAGTCGTGCCGCGTCAGGATCCCCACCACCGGCGGCCTCTGCACAACACAAAAGAATCGCACCGTTCGTGTCACGTCGCATGCGAAACCACAGAAGAAATGGAGTTGTCGGCTGGCATACTTACCCCCTGCGTCCTGGGCACGACGCACATGTGGCGGAGGCCGAGGCCGCGGAACAGCGTGGCGGCCTTGGCCAGCGACATGTTCTCCACGACGGTGTACGGCGACCGGTTGGTGATGGGGTGGAGGTCCACGTACATGTCCATCTCCTCCTCGGTCAGCTCCAAGTCCTCCACCTTGAGGCCCTTGCCGGAGCCGGCCTTGGCGAAGTCGAACGGCGCGAGCGTGCGAAACACCTCGGCGGCGCCGGTCTTGACGCGCGCCCTCGTGAAGATCCGCCCCTGCAGCAGCACCAGCAGGTGGGAGCGCAGGACGAGGCCGCACACCTCCGGCGCCGGCGCGAACGGCGGGTCCTCGATCACGGGGAACCCGTTGTGGCCCGTGCTCCTCAGCGTCTCGACGACGGCACCCACGCGCTCGACGCTGGAGAAGGTGACGAGCGGGCCGGACACCACGTCGCCGGCCACCAGGCTCCGCGTGCACGGCTCCGCGTGCACCTCCAGGTAAGGGAGCCCCTTCATGCGCACGATCTGCTCGTACACCCCCTTGTTGAAGCAGTCCGCCACCGTCTTGGCGATGAGCTGCACGAGCATGATGAGCGGCAGCAGGAGCAGGTCGTTGGTGAGCTCCAGCAGGATGACGCACACCGACACCGTCATCCGCATCGTCCCGCTGAGGAAGGACGCGGCGCCGAGCAGCGCGAAGAGGCCCGGGTCGAGGCCGCTGACCGAGCCCAGCAGCGTGCCGACCAGGCGGCCGAACGAGGCGCCCGACAGGATGACGGGGATGAAGAGGCCCGACGGCACGGCCACGCCGTAGGTGAGCAGGCCCAGGGTGTACACCGTGGTGAAGAAGATGAGGAGCGTCGACACGCCGAACTCCCTGTAGTCGTACCAGGCGCTGAAGAGGTTGCGGATGGCGTCGTCGTTGGTGTTGAAGAAGAGGGATGCCAGAGCGTTGTAGTGGCCCGGCGGGCACTGGAAGTTCTTGAAATTGCCAGAGCGGCCGATGGTCGGGCACTTCGTCCTGGCGAGCTCGGGCGGGCAGGGGGTGCACGTCGTCAGCCACGGCAAGCCGAAGGTGCATCACGAAGTGATCACCGAGATGGTCACCGTCAGGACGATCTTGTAGCACGCGCCCTTCCTGCAAATTTGAACGCGCCCAGTGGTTAGTGTCCTATGAAATTAACTGCTGTAGAGTGATGAAAGGCTCACCATCAGATTGGCACTTACTCGTTGACGAGGCTATATACGCGAAGGACGCGGTCGACGAGGAAGTTGAAAAGAGCACCAAGCAGACCGCCGAGGACGCCGAGCAACACGACCGCGGCATGGTCCGTTACGGTGTAGGTCACTTGCCGTGAGCCGAGATCGAACATGATCAGCCCTCCTTTGCCAAACAGGCCACAGTGGCCACCACGGCAGTAGGTGATTAGCGCGTGCAACACCATTGTCACCACTGCTGTCGTAGAGAAGGTCCTCCAAAGAAGCGCGCTCCGCCACCTGACGAGAGATTGATTGCAAGGGCAAACCATGTTAGATCATGCACTATCTGCACTCCAACATGTTGGTTTCGGTTTCGACTTTCCAGGGAGATAGCAATTTCTGAGCCGTCCGTATTATGAGGTAGGAAACTCTCAAGTACGGTTCTATATATATTACCATGATGTAACTTCTTCAAGCGCAAAGAGCACGCCTCCAACCGGGGCACGGAAGGCCGCCGCCACACCAGCTGCAGCTCCGCAGGTGATGAGATCCCTTCGGTCCAGATCATTCTTGAAGTACCTGATCCAGTTCCAGGTGAGGCCATACTTCCGTGACCCACCTTGCCCGAGCAAGGAGGCAACACAAGCACCGGTGTGCACCATAGGGCCTTCCTTGCCAAGCACAAATCCAGCAGATACCCCTAGTATTGAGCCTAAAATCTGCATTTGCAGTAATAGCATAATCAGATGTAAATCAAGACATCAATATCAAAATAACTTAGAACCACCACAGCTTGAAAGTTTCAGGGCACCACCTTCACTGAGAGGGTACTAGGCGCCAAAATCGAGTGCGCATCGACGCCGTTCAGATACGCCTTCACCTCAGGGATGCCAGACCCGGCTGCAGCCGGGGCAATGTAAGCGCACAACGCTGCAGCCGCAGCAGCCAGCATTGCGTTGCAACCGATGTATAGCACAAAAGCTGCCAGGTACCTGAAGCGCCAAGCAATGTTAATTAAGCAAAATGAAGAAGAAAGTAGAAAGAGTTTGGCATTGTAACTTGTAGTAAGCGAGATCCGTACCGGTTCTCGAGCATGAGATCGCCCGTCAGAAGCAACTTGAACCCAGCGATGTTTTCGACAGCAATGTTGCTGAAGAATCCAACTAGGCCAACGACTACACCTACAAAAAGTGCCAGCACCCATTTAAGGACCTGGTATTGGAAGATCTGAAGTTTCCCTCTTGATCTCCAGTCTTGGTTGTACACTTCATTCTCCACAATTCTGAAATCATCAGTGAAAATGACGTGAGGAAATGCATGAATAAGATTGGTCCAAACCTGCTGACTGCTGACTGTATGCTGACCAAGTTCATGGTAACAGTGATAGTCTGTTTTTAATGTAACTTAATAATCTCTTTTTATTAAACATAGCACTTTTTTCATGCATTGGATTGGATCAACAATCAATCAAGTAGCATAGAAAAAAAAGATTTTCGTGCAAGAAAAATTCAGGAAACCTACAAAGAGCAGAACTTTCTTTGCAACAACTGCAAAGACAGTCAGACATCAAATCCACAATGACATACCAAGTCCTTGGTTAATTAAAATCGTAATTACAGTACATTTATGTTACAGTCAGAGATCAAATTCAGAATGATATGTCAAGGGGCTGAAACGTCCACTATTAATAAACTCAAACAATGACATCAATAGCACTCGAAGTAATAATCAGCACTGTAGCAGCAAGGATATCTGAGAAATACAGTATGTGGAAACACAAGGGCATGCATGCATACTCGTAATCGAGGCTCTCAATGGGGCAGGTGTTGGCGCCAACGATGGCCATCTGCGACGTCGTGTTGGTGCCGCGCTGGTAAAGCAGTGGTCGCTGCAGCGAGCCAGCCGCATCCTCGACGTCCTTCTCCCACTTCACCGACCTCGTCGACATCGGAGTTGCAATCGGTGTCGCCGTTGGCGTCGCCAACGGCGTCGTGCAGGAGCTCTCGGCCCCGTCCAACTCACTTTCTTTTCCAGCCGAAGTTGCCATGGTTTCTCACTTCCACCTGACTGAAGTAATATGCTTTACTATCTGCCTCTTCTTATAGTCAAGTAGGTTGTGTGTTCTTCATCCTGTGATGAAAAAAAAAAGATTAGTGCTCAAACATGGTATGGACGTTATGTTTTTCTTGAGAAACAGCGTTTCGGCGTCTTATTGGAATCAAACAAACAAGAAAACACATGATCTAAGATTCCATGCTTGCAGTTTTCAGATGGCAATGTAATGCGCGTCGCTCGTCGTATCAGTTTTGTGACTGAAACTGCTAGTTGTGCTGGCCGCTCTGAGAAACGCGGTTTTGTATCGACGACAGACGACCAATCTGATATCTAATACCAATGCGGCGTAATTATGTAGCCGCGACCGCGATGTGATTGATAGATGGAAACTCGACGATACACCTCCGCGCGTAGCATCCAATCCCAATCTCCTCCTCGCCGTCGTCTGGTCCTACCGGGACGCGCGCCTCGTGAGCTCGATCCATCTCACGCGGCCAAACGGAGAGAATCTGACGGATCAGCATTATCCATCCGCGCCACCCGGCCGCCCCCAAGGCCCCAACACTTGCCAAGACGACGACGAGCGAGAGGAGAATAGGCCACCGACGTGCGCGGTGAGAGTCCCGGGAATTCGCAAGGCAAACTGGTAAAGGGTGATTTGGTGGAGGGGAGGCGCGGAGGAGTTGGCGGCGGCAAGTCAGCAGCGGCCTGGCCCCCTCTCCTGCCACCCTTTAAATACCAAGGGTCTGCGCGTGCCATGAGCCAGGGACTCCGTGTCTGTCCCGTACTGCATGCCGTTGGATCCCGCCGGCCGCCGAGGAAACCGTCTCGTCCTATTCCCACGCGTGAATGGATATAGATCATATACGTACGCTACAACGCGCGGTGCTTCAGCGTGCCTCTGGCCCTCTGCCTCCCCATGCACCGCTCCGCCACGCCGCCTGGCCGCCATGTCGCCCGGCCCCCGCCTCTCCCCGTCTCGCGCGGTCGCGCCCGCCGCCCTGCTCCACCACACCGCCGCGCCGTACGGCTGCATGGCAACCGTCCCACACGCAGCCGCTCCGCCCGGCATAGCTCCCTCAGGCAGGCCCCAATGCTCCTGAGTCCTGCCACAATGCAATCTGGGAGGAGGAGGAAAGTGCAGGCGGCACCGAGGCAGCCGTCCCGATCGGAGTCCACCGCTAACGAGAGATATAGACATAGCGTGTCCGTGTTGTTACGGGATAACTAAATTTTTTTATTAAAAATACACGGATCGTACGATAAGATAATAATATCGTTAAGTTAAATACCGACGTCAAAGTGATATTTAATTCAAAAAGCAAAGTTCGTGAAATTAACACAGTCACGAAGGCTCACAAACTCTACTATATAGACTTTTTCATGATACGACTAAGATAATACTTTATATCGACAGAAAGAATTCTACGATATCCATTTCTTTCATGCGTCAATAAATCTATGAATAAGTTCCACTGCATCTCCATACAATCATGTATACATAGGTTCGAGTATATATGTAAATAGGTTCGTGCCCGTGCGTTGCTACGGGGCAGCTAAACTTTTGTACTAAAAACACACGGATCACACGATAAGATAACAATACTGTAAAAGTATATGATCGACGTTAAAGTGACATTTAATCCAAAAGGCTAAGTTCGTGAAATTTACACAGTCACAGAGAGCATGGCGTCGCAGGCTCACAAACTCTACTGTGTGGATCTTTCCGTGATACGGCTAAGATCATTTTTTATACCGGCAGGAAGAGATTTCCGATATCCATTTCTTTCGTGCGCCAACAAATCCACGAATAAGTTCCACCACATCTCCATACCATCCTGTACACGGCGTTGGCAAACGAATTAGCCACAATTTATGTAATTAGTTTTATAATTAGCTCATGTTTAGTCATCCTAATTGATAAGTAAAAATTCAATGTGACAGGGACTAAAGTTTAGTCCTGGGATCCAAACACCTCCTAACTCTCGACTCCTGCTGGCTGCTCACTTGCACCACCATGCCTATGTGTCTGCACGTATATACTCTAATGCCAGAACGTCTAAGATGGTCTTTAAGGTTGTCATTTGCGTATGCTGTAGGATTGGGATGCTTTGCACTGATCTACGAGGGTGTCCATGAGAGTCGAATTATTTTGATGACATTATGATGTCTAAGCTTACCAATCAGACATAGACGAACTTGATTATTAAAATATTTTCAACACTGCTTTCATATACTCTATCTGTCCAAAAATAGAATTCATTCTCGCTTCCCGAGAAGTTAACTTTTTTTTAACTTCGACCAATTATAATACAGGTATTTTTTATATGCATGTGGCCTCAGGAGTCGACCAATTGATTGTTAAATGTTGCACGTATTTTTTACAAACCTAGTCAAAGTTGAGAAAGTTTGATCTGCACACATCCCATAACGACTTATATTTTGAGGCAGAGGAAGTATATGCTAATGAGAGTAGTCAACTGGAAGTCGTGATGAACACAACAATACTTTTATATTATATGCTAATTGGAGCACGAAGAAACGTAGGGGAATGGATCTATATACGAATGGTGCGAATATTCGTTTAGAAAATTGCAGAAGGTTCACCAGTCTCACCATGTATAACATGCACATCTTTTATTTGGCACCACTGATGTTCTCAAGGAGCAGCCACTTTTTAATTTCAGGTCTACATGCTGAAAACACTAAAATTAAGGGTCAACCTCATTGAGTCGTCTTGCTTGATCTTTGCCAATTATTTCTTTCAATGCATGATTATTATTTCCTTCCATGCATGTGGCCTCAGGTGATCGATTTGTATCCTTCAAAGCAGGCGGGGATCGCAGGGATGCCAGTTTTTTTTTCTATCACGTGGGGTATCGCATGGCCGGAAGGGAGGAGTCTTGCTTGATCTTTGTCAATTGTTTCCTTCCATGCATGATTATTGTTTCCTCCCATGCATGTGGTCTCAGGTGATCGATTTGTTTCCTTCAAAGCAGGCAGGGATGGCAGTTTTTTTTCTATCGCGCGGGGTATCGCATGGCCGGAAGGGAGGAGCAACCCAAAAAAAAGTCGCACCAAAAAATAGTCTTACTTTTAATCTTTTTAGTTGTAGGAGATATAGATATGGAGAGAGACGAAACAAAGCAATTGATTTGTCACTTTGGTATCTTATATTAATCAAATACACCTTGTCTGCTAAGCATATTGGGGCGGATTTGCCGAAGTATCATCAATTTGTGCAGGCATAGATGAAGTGGGAAATATGAACCTCATTTATGGTTGCTGATTTGAGAATTTAGCCTGCATTTCAAGCTCTAGAACAGGAAGAATATTAAATTATAAAATTTGTTACTCTCTATCCCTTAAATTGCCCTCTTTTGTGGTTGCTGAATTTTGTAAGAAAAGGGGAAAAATCTACTATTGCACAACCTTATGATTTATCATGTTTTTGGAATTTGAGAAGCTGTCATGTAACTTTTTTATGCCTCTTTTCTTTTTCCGTGCTGATTTTTTTCTTTTTTAAGTTTAACTTTAGTTTTTATTAGTTTTTGAGGAGCTCATGACATCAAATGTGTACAGATTTGTAGGGATGACTTGCTGGTGTCCAACCCACATTAAGCAGGTAGTTGATGAGTACACTTGCAATGCACCGCATCACAAGGCAAAGCAATTTGAAAGAGGAATTTATGATGAACTTAGCTATCATGATCTGAATTTCCTTCCTCTGATTTAGAACATATACTTGAATTATGTGTTTTACTCTTGTTTGTACAAGCTTGCTTTAATACATTGTGTAAATCATGCCTATATAATGTCGCTCGACAGCATGTTGCTGGCGAACTCAAAACATCTTGTTTTTCTTATCGCATTGATTTTTTTTTTGCTCTCGTGGAAAAGTGTCTCCCTTTGCAATGTAGGGCATAATAATCCTAGTATTCTCTTATTTGTTTTTGGGAAAGCTAACAGGCAACTTGTAAATAATCCGGTTCAACACTCTCGCACCAAGCACATAGATATCCGCCATCACTTTCTAAGAGATCATGTTGCTAAAAATGATATATCACTAGAAGGTGTAAGGGCCGAAGATCAATTAGCGGATATCTTCACTAAACCGCTAGATGAGGCTACATTTTGTAGATTGCGGAATGAGCTCAATGTACTTGATTTTAGTAACTTCACTAAAAGTTGAGCTTGTGTTGTTCCTTGCATTCATTGTAATATACAACATGTTTAATTTTTGTAATGCATATAGGGCTTGTCTAACATGGTTAAGATAACCGTCGAAGAGCGTGTGAAGAAGCTTAATCTTGGATCAAACTTGACAAGCAACTAGATTTACTTACAAGTATTGCATATGCATGTTTGTTGCTTTGTCGTTTTGCTCCATTTGCCCTCTTATTGCCTATTTTCTTAAAAAGAATTATAGCCTAAGGCAAAATACTTTGCAAAACTTTAGGGTTTGAGAGAGGTCACTCACATCAGTCCCAATTGATGTTTATTTGGATCTTATTCATGTTGGGACTTGATTGGGAATAGGCAGGGTGAAGGAATTTTGAAGACTTGTTGGAAAAGAGTGACCGGACGCTGCACCGGACTCTGTCGTCCAGCGTCCGGTCAGTTCACAGGAGGTGAACTGCTGCTGAAGGAGTGACCGGACTTTGCCTTTCAGCGTCCGGTCAGGAAGGGTTCAACGTCCGGTCGAAGCTGAAGGCGTCAAGGCAACTCTGACCGGACCCTGCCTGCGTCCGGTTATGGACCACCGGACGCATCCGATCACGATTCCAGAGGAATTGGACCTCTCTGGAATCGACCGGACGCTGGGTGGTAGCGTCCGGTCGCTACCACCGGAGCGTCTGGTCATTAGATCTCGTGCGGCTTTCAATCTCTTTTCTCCTTTCCTTCTCGGTTGCGTCGGGGGACCTATTTAATCGCGCGAGCCGTACCTATGCTGACCTATTCCGCCGCCGCCAAGTCCCGAGCCCTAGCCGT